TACATAATGATTCCCCTCCCAAATACCATGCCCCCCTCCCCGTTTCAATGGCAGCCGAAAAGCAGCAGCGAAGCAGAGGCTGACAAAAGGATTGCAAGGTTTCCCCTTCTTCCCCTTTATTTTAAAGGCCCATGGCAAATTTTAAAGGCCCATGGCAAATTTCAGAAAATATGAATCAACAGAATATACAAGTTTTTAACTTTAGGATATACTTTGCTTTGCCCTGAAGCCTTCTGAGGCCTAGAAAAGGAAAGCAAAAAGGACCATAAGAATCACTCATCTGGTAAATGTGCCAACCAATGTCAATCTTTTCTAAGACCACCAACCCCCATAACCTGCCTGGTTGTTTATGGGTGGTCTTCGTGCTAATGAAGGGGAAATGCTGGCTTTGGCACCGACTAGGATGCCCACAAACTTCCTGCTGCTATTGTGACTGTGCCCAGGCCACCAGACTTCCTCCATCTCCTCTAATGACTGATGCTTTGCCCAAACAGTTCATAGGAAGGGAAGGCATAGAGATCACGTGGTCTAATCCTTTGCCCAGGGAATGCATTCACAATTACGCCATCTTTGACAGGCAGCAGGCCAGTCTCTGTTTAAAGCCACCACTCCATCTTGAGGCAGCCATTTCTATTGTTGAACGAGTCTTATCAATTTGGAAATCTTTCATGGATGTTCATTCAAAATCTTCCTTGTAATTTAAACAATATTTTTTCTTTTTTTGTGTTTTGGAACAATTTGGAACAGTTCTGCTCCAAAGTGCTGGAAACCACTTGAAAAATCAATAATGATCAGAAAATTGGGAAGAAAATACAGTAATAAATTAAAAAAATACCAATGAAAACATGCACTGTTGAAAGTTATAATTCCAGCAGCTGTCAGAGAAGGTCCAAACAGGAACTAGTTGGAAGCCGTGAAATACTATAGAAAACTGTCTAATGGCTCACATTTTCATGAGGTGGATTTTCTTGATTTTTCTCCTCCCAATTGCTATTTGGAACTAAAAGCGGTCATTGTATTCTAATGTATTCCTTTGTAAAACGGGGCAGATGGAAGATATTAAGAATCCAAGAGAAGAGATCCAGGAACTTTCGTGGCCAAAGTAGCATTTAACAATGGATTGTAAGGGTGTAATCACATTTTTCTTGAGTGATTGTGGATGGAATGCCTGCCTCCTTAAAGTCACAGTTGGTTTTGCATAGCCCCTTGACGTCCAGATCTTAAAATAAACCAAGGCATGTGTTTATTTGATTAATGACTCCAGTCTCCCTCCCTCCATCTCTCCCCACTTTATAGAATGGTATGATGTGCAATATTGGAGGCAATAATACAGACTATCGAATGACACCCTCAGATGAGGATTTAGGCCGTCATCCCCAGCTGGTGAGTCCTTTCAGTATCACAGCATCGGTTCTGTGGCCACTTCCTGAGCACAACTGTGCTGTGTCAGATTGCACAACAAAGAGTAACACTCTGAAACACTGACAACCAACCAACTCTAGATCTTTGGAGAGCTGCAGAAGGATAGGCCCTCCCTCTGACTACTTTCCCTCTATATAGTGGATATTAACGTTTCTATCTTCCAATCCCAGGAAGTATTTATCAGTGGCTAACCAATTACTATGCTTCAGGGAGCGATCCCAAGTTCTGTCCTGCCCTTCGCTACGTGCATTTCCCTATTTTTTGATCACAGTTTATCAAGTGAGCACTCCAGCTTTGAAGGGCTTGCCAGCAATGCTGATAAAATGACTTCCTGGATAGTTCCCTCCCTTCCCAGTTCAAAATTAGTTTCAGTGGTACTTGGTGTAAATCAAAACCCTTTCACCAGTAGCAACTGTAGCAACTCATAACATGTAAATGTCTGCATCTATCTGCTGGAATTTGGCAAGGTTAATCCAAGAGAAGGAGCAAATGTCATTTGATTCTGAATAGGTTATAGCACTAGCAATAGCACTTAGACTTATATACCGCTTTGCCGTGCTTTACAGCCCTCTCTAAGTGGTTTACAGAGTCAGCCTCTTGCCCCCAACCATCCGGGTCCTCATTTTACCCACCTTGGAAGGAGGGAAGGTTGAGTCAACCTTGAGCCTGGTGAAATTTGAACTGCCAAATTGCAGGCAGCCGGCAGGCAGCAGAAGTAGCCAGCAGTACTGCTTTTTAACCACTGTGCCACCATGGCTCATAGAATCTAACACACTCATAGGCTTATAGAATCTAAAATATAATATACAGTATAAATACATACAGTATGCTGTAAATATATTTGAAAAATAACATGGTGAAGATGCTGGACTAGGACTGGAAAGGCCCAGGTTCAGTTCCCTCCTTAACTGGCTTAGAGGCTCCTTGGGAGACTTTGGGCCAGTCACTCTCTCCTGCCTGGTAGATGAGGGTCACAACCTTCATTGAAGAGGCCTTTCTTACACTGGATTGATTCGAACTGATCATTATACATATATGCTGTTCACATATAATGTGTGTGTGTGGGTGTGGGTGGGTGGGTGTAACTATAAAATTTAAAATTGGCTTGATTTCATTTACTCAGCTTTTCTATGTATACAATTTGGTTAAAAACATTAAACTCCATTTGGTTAAAAAAACATTAAACAAATACAACTATTTGGAGATTCAGATGCAAATCAGTTGAGGCACTGATCTAACCAGAAACTGAGGTTCCTTGTTGAATCAGATATCTTTATATATGTCCTCACTCCTCAGGACATTGGCCAAGTCATTAGTAGTTTATGGCTAGGATTATGCAACACACAAAATCTTAAACATGGGCTAATAAGCATGGCACCATTTACTACCTCAGGCTGATGCATTCAACACTAGCTGAAGTTTCTGAATGTTCTTCAAGAGTGGACCCATGTAAAATGCCTGCACTAAGCCAGACAAGAGGATATAAGGGCATGAGTGGTAGAGAGACCCCTCCCCCACTGGTCTAGGAGCAGACACAGCTGGCACTCAACTGAAGGCATTAAAAGGCCTTCCTACATATAGTTGCCACTTGTTCTTCAAGCAGGAGCTGTGAGTCCAGGAGGACGCCCCTCCCCATCATGTCTGTCTGAGATGGTGCCACCCCCTCCAAGACCTATGATGGAAGGTTACCAGACCAGAAGGTCCACTCACAGAGCCTCTCCATCTTGCCTAGATTGACCCAAAGACTGTTGCACTGTATCGAGGACCCCACAACCTCCAGACACTGGGACAACCCATAGCATCACTCAGGCATCCTGGTGGGAGATTAAAGCTGGGTATCATCTACATATGGGTGATACTTCATCCCAAACTGTCAGATGACCTCACCCAACAGCCTCATGTAGATGGTAGATGCCTCAGATAGTTGTTCAAATGAGTTCATGCAACCATTTTGAAGGAAATTCCATCAGTCAAAGAACTTCCAGGTTAAAGGGGGGAAATGGCCCAATATCTTATATTCCACCAAACCTCGCTTGTCTTTTTGTTCCAGAACTACAGTAATTCTGACGTGATTTCAATCGACTGCAGTGTGAATCTGGCTGCCAATCAAGAAGTCAGCTTTCTCTTATATGGAAATTTGTGGATGAGGACCCTAGGAGTGGTATGGACAAGATGCAAATTGCCAACTTTGCTAGCAGCCAACACAAGCCATGGGTGTTAGGGCCTGCTCTTCCAGGCCATGCTTCTTCCTGTGGGTGGGGCGATGGCCAGATTTTTACCTTCCACACTAACTTGTCTTTCAGTGGTAATAATAGTTATCCCAAAGCAAGAATTCTTAGTCCAGCTGGGAACAAGAGTTTCCAGAGTCTGCATTAGTTGTTGGCTAACTGCAAAGAGAGAATTTGATCCTAGCAGGAGCAGCTAGGATTTAAGATGAACATAACTTCAAGGAAATTTAGAAAGATTATATTTCAAAGACCACTAAAAAAATGAATAGGGTAAAAACGGAAGCAGTATTGAAATTGCCAAGAAAGTAGCTGGAACCCTTCATGGAACTGAAAAGTCTCACCAGTTGTCCCATGTTGCAGATTTTCGTATATTTCCCCAATCGCAAGATACCCCTTAGCCCTGCCTTTCCCTATCTGCCAAGTATAACAGGGGTGTCAAACTTGCATCATCACAGCATCATCACGTGACATATCAGGATTCCCCCCCCCCCGCTCTGCTAAACCAGGCATGGCCAGTGCATGATGCATCCAGGCCATGAGCCGCAGGTTTGACACATCAAGGACACATCAAACCACATTGAGAGACCAAGAAGGAATTATGAAGAGCAAAGAGGCTATTTTGCTGCCCTCCTTTGTGTCAGGAGGCAGAATTCTTCTGAGTGTGATCAGTGTGTTGATCCAAAAGAGCATTCTAGCCTCTGTAGCAATAATTAATTAGCGTAAATCAATTCTGACTAAACTAGGTGGCCTGTCTCCTTATTAGGGCTATTCATACATGGCTCTAAGCAATGATTTGTTGGTTTGTGTCAGTATATTGTGTGAACTTAATATTTATGGTTTCTTCCATCAAGCTATAGTTAAAGTCAAACATGTCTTAGCGTTATGTGTGAAGAGAGCCACTGATTCTCTTCTATCCGTCTAGCTGAAATTCAAGACGCTGAGATGCATCTTCAATGCTGCCTTGCAGAGAGGGTTTCGTAGTGCCTTTGTCTTCAGAGAGGAGGATCCTAGTCGCCAGGTAAGCCCACAGATCACAGGTCCTCTTCTCACTTGCTCCAGTCAACGTTACTCTTTGGAAGCCAGTCACCTTAAGATGCTAATGGAAATTTAGGGATTATAGGAATCTGTGAATTCTAGTTTTCACATTTCTTCTGATCCTGACCTTAGATTGTCACTAATGGTTTGAAAAATACAGTATGTCTTTCCAGGCCAAAGAGGAGGAAGAGACGAAGATAGCAGCCACACCCGTGCAATCAAAAAGCTGAATCTTTTTTATATGTGCCATAATATGTATTTAAAGGGGGCAGGGATTGGATAACAGGCTTGTGGCTGAATTATTTGACACCCCCCCCTTGTGGACACCCTTGACCAGTCTACATGCTCCTCTCTGCGCTGGCCCTCTCTTCCCTAATTCAGTGGTGTAACAAATCTTGCTACTGATGACTTTACTATGCATTCAGTTCTAACTTCATGCCCTTTGGAGAAACTTGGCTTCAGCTGTCATTCTGGCATTAATAACAGCGCCCAAGGAATTTCTTAACACAGTGAGGCTTACAAGTCTTTCTATTACTGATAATAACTACCTCCATTATTAACGAAAAAGAAAATTAAAGTGGAATAATAACATTACTTAGTAAGCTTTCTTTAAAAGGTCTGATTCCAAAACAGCTGGATATTAATTTCGTAACAAATTCATAAATTGTGGCAGGGATTGTAGTACATAATAGTCTGCATGAAGGACTAGAATGAAACTGATGAATATTCCAGCCATTCATCAGTTGCATATCCCCAGTGGGTGTGGTTTGAACTTTAACTGCCACAGTAATGTGCATGTGTCATCAGTGTGGGAGTTCAAAACCCCTGGAGGACAATGTGTTGCCAACCTTTAACCAAACTAATAGGCTGGTGTGTTCTAATGTTGAGGAGCACCTCATTTTAGAAAAGAAGAATTATTTGAGGGAGAACAGTGGTTTTGAACAAAATTATATTTTTAATTCTGAAACAGATTGCTAAAGTAATGAATGTACAGAAACAGAGTGGAACTTAGCATTGCATATACTTTAACCTTCCTTTCTGGAGTTTGAACTAGTTTAGGAATTGATGGCCACCATGACAATCAGGGGCTTCTTCCAGGTCATCACTGGCCTAATCAACACTGCAACACCTTTCCTTAAAGCAGAAGAGATATGAGCCTTGGTGGTGCAGTGGTTAGAGTGCAGTAGTGCAGGCTACTTCTACTGCCTGCCGGCTGCCTGCAATTTGGCAGTTCAAATCTCACCAGGCTTCAGACTGATTCAGCCTTCCATCCTTCCAAAGTTGGTAAAATGAGGACCCAGATTGTTGGGGGAAATAGGCTGACTCTCTAAACCGCTTAGAGAGGGCTGTAAAGCACTGTAAAGCGGTATATAAATCTATGTGCTATTGTTATTGCTATATTGTTTTGTGGGCGAGCTTTCTATGGACCAGTCACTTATTCATGATGATGGATTTAACCAGGACTATCAAAGCATTCAGGAAGGCTGGTGGCTCATTAACATGGTACCTGCAGATACCAAATTGAACTGGAGGGCTTCTGGTTAGCACTTCAGGAATTTACAAACAATCAGGAATTCTGTTGATCAATCTCAGATCAATGGAAGTGACTTGGATGTTTGATAGGATTGCCTGAGTAATTTTTAGCCTTCCATTGATCTCTGGCAACTCTTTGCTTTTCTAAGGAATTGAAAATGAAGCAAACGAAGAGATTCCTAGACTGATGTTGGTGGAAAATGAGATTGAATCTGAGGCATATGAATCAATCTGAGGTTGAATCAAGTTTACTCTCTAGTGATCAGGGCGTTAATTCCACCCTTATGACATCTGCAGGAAACCATCAGCCAGCTTCATTGTTCATAACAACCCAGACCCATTTAAGTAATGGTAGGTTGGAACAGCCAGTAACAGCAATGTGCAAACATCTGGCCAGTAATCTCATAAATTAAATCACTCATATTTTTTTCAAAAGCTGGGTCAGCAGGATTATGAGGTGACACAGAACACATCTAGCAACCTTAACTGAGCTTTAGGATCTTGAGGAAGCCAATTTCTTTTGGGCATAAGTTCCCTCACTTGGGAACTTGATTCCTATTCCTTCTGGCTAAGGAATCAAGAAGGGAACAATGACTGAATTTGAGCAATGTATTCTTGAGGAAGGGAGATGTTCCAGCAATCTTAAAAGACAATCCAGCAGTTACCAATTTATATTCAACTTTTCTTTTTGAAAGAACATTAAGAAAACAGTGAGCAGCAACTTGTCAATCCTCTGAGATAAAGTCAGGAAACGGGAGTTATTAGTAGTCTCGAAAAATAGTTTAACAAGTTCCTTAATTTTTGGATTAAAATCTTGAAAGTCTGTCAGCCCCCCACCCACCCACTGCTTCAATTTATACCTAACCTATTCAAGGTTGTCTGAATTTCTTTAACAATTTCTGCTATCTACTACCCCAAGACCGAAATACTGTTTCTGTAACTTTCCACATTCTCCTGAAGTTCTAACACACAATTACAGAGGCTGGATTGTCTGGATCCTTGGGACTTAGGATTTATGCCTAAACAAGGACGCAATCTGCAATTCTCACTCTCACTGATGGCGGGACACAGAGGGAAGGCGGGCACACAGCTGTCCTTGTGCTGCTGTCTCTTTCAGTGGCCTTTGGTATTGTCAACCAGGGTCCTTCTTGAGGGTTGGAAGTGGGAGACATCATTTGTGGTTGTTTTGTCCCTTCCTGAATGGGCAAGTCTGGGTCAGTGGTTTCAGCAGGGAAAACAAACCCATGGGGATTCCAGTTTGGGTGACTACGGACTTAGTCTTTCCCTCCAGCTTGTTTCCCTGGGGCTTAGGTATCCTAGAGGCCACTTATTCCAACATATTTTGCTTTCCAAAACTGGGAGAATAGAGTGTCTGCTGAAGTTCCCCCCATCAGTGAGAAGAAGCCCTGAAGAAATAGGCACTAAAGCACTTGCCCCCAACACAAAAGTTATTCCGCCACTCATGACTTTCCAAGCAGCTGATAAACCCTAATTTTTCCAGAGAGCTTTTGCAGACCAAAATAGCTGGATCAATTATTGTTGTGGCTTTGTCTACTTACCTATTTCCATTGCAGTACTTCTCTCTTGCTTACAAACCTCCTTAAACCACCTCAGATGGAGCAGGAGCGCCCTCTTCTGAGAAGTCGTGGCTCAGCAGCCGTCTTGCCGGCAGAGGACTCCCCTTCTAGAACTCCCTGCAAATCATATCTGACTCCCTGGACCTTCCAAGAATTCCCTGTTACGTCTCCCTGTTCTTTTCCCCCTTGTAGATTGCATTTGAGATCTCCAAAGTCGAAGAGCCCCACATCCCCATCTGGATCATAATCGGGAGCACCTTAGGTGGTTTCCTGCTGCTGGCACTCCTCGTGCTGGCACTCTGGAAGGTAAGCCTAACAGCAACCCTCCAGGGCAGGCGCGGATGTATCAGGATGAGCTCATCGCCAGGAATACTTCTACAACTTTAAGCAGGCTGCCCATTTCAGAGGCAGCAGTTAATTGGGGCTAAACTTTTCCACGCAACCAGAGTGAACAAAGGAGCCAAAAAGCCATAATGCATGTTGTAATGCTGAATTCCCCTCGCCCAAACGCCCTTATCTTGGCATCGCATGTATTGAGTTATACTTGACACCCTTGGGAATACAGTAAAATAGTGGTTTAACATTTCTATAAATAGATTTTTTCCCAAAAACCCTTTTAATGACAACACAGAATTAGGCTTCCATTTTTGTGTATTAATCTACATTACCAGTTAATTCACACACTCACATTTTTTCATTATAGCAACAAACTAGCTGGTTCTTTTCTTAGGTAGGAATAACCAGAAAAGTACGGTAATCCTTGACTTACAACCGTTCCTTTAGTGACTGTTCGAATTTACAACAGCACTGAAAAAAGTGACTTATGGCCATTTTTCACACAAGCATTGTGGCATCCCAAAGGTCATGTGATCAAATTTCAAATGCTTGCCAACTGATTCATAGTTATGACGGCCACAGTGTCCTGAGGTCACGTGATCACTTTTTGCCACCTTCTGATAAGTAAAGTCAGTGGGAAATCCAGATTCATTTAACAATGGCGTTATTAACTTAACAGTTGCAGGGACTCACTTAACAACTGTGGCAAGAAATGCCATAAAATGGGGCGAAACTCACTTAACAAATTCTCAGCAGCAGAAATTTGGGTCTCAAGTGTGGTCATAAGTCGAGGACTACCTATATTGCAGTGTTGGATTGCATCAACAGGGCACTGAGATCATAAGAAGGATAGTGCAGTCTACGCTGAACTGGCCTGATGAAGTACTGTCAGGTTGCTGAGGGATCAGACAGAGAGAGAGAGAGAGAGAGAGAGGGGGGGGGGAGGGAGACTCAGAGTGAGAACTCTTCCAGATTGCCTCCTGGAAATTTGGGTGGTGCATGCTGGAGCTTTCCCATAAAGGTTGAGTAGCCATTTGCTTGGGAAGGTCTCAAATTTCCTGTCCTCAGCGAACGCTTGGATGAAGATTTCCAAGACCTTCCTCTCAACCCAATGATTCTGGGAGATCTCTCAAAAAGTCCGAATTTTTTGACCTCCAATACTGTATGAATATCCTTGTAAACTAATTTTTCCCTCATTTAAACAGCACAAAAAGGAAAAACAGTTGTTGCTTATAGTCTTCCTATAATACATTGTGGTTGCTTCTTTTCCTCAATTGAGGTTTTATATGCTGTATAACAGGTAGAAAATCAGGTGGCTTTTTGACTTTTTTCCCCTTATTTCTTCATTGTTTAATTTTAAAATGTTTGAATTTTTTCATTCTTTAAGCAAAAGTGAAAAGTTAATGTAGCCTATATGTCTTAATTAGGTGAGAGTTAAAATTTATGGCATGCAGTTTCAGTGATTTGTTTGTTAAACAATTCAAAGTTCTAGAGTTGGCAAATTCAGTCAAGGCATGAGTTACAGAAGATTTTCTGCTTTGTCTTGTATCTCTTTAGCTTGGCTTTTTCCAAAGCGCCACCCGCAAGAGAGATGCAAGCCAGGATCAGACCGCCAAAGATTTGGACTAAGGTTTCCATGGTCTTGAGCATCTTGGCTTTTTTCTCACAACCAAGTTTACTTTGCTGCCTCGCCAGCCTCCATTTGCCTTGATCAGTTTCCCTGTTAGCTGAAAGCAACCCAGCTGCTATGTACTATCCTGCAAAGAAGCCTCCACCAGCAAGGACTTAAACTGGTTTTGTTTCCTTCTGCCTAAGACACTGGAACTATGCAATAAGGACAGGGAGAGAGCAGATCCCCAAGGAGCAGCCTTCTCTTTAACATGACCTACTTGCCAGAAGACTCTTAGGAAGAGCCTCTCATCCTTTACATGTCTACGGCACATGCAAGATTCTTTGGGAGGATACACTTCTCAGTCTGCATTTTCATTGAGGAAACTTTGTTCCTAGAATAAAAAGAAGTGGAAAGTCTAGAAGATTCACACAGATACTTGAGCTTTCACATTCCTTCATTCAAGCTGCCAAGGGCAAACAAACCAGACAGAAGCATCTACAGTGCATTTCCTTGAAAACAAATCACCTTGCTAGCATAAAATGGTGTTTTATTCCAGATTACTTCAGGACTCACAAATCTTGCCAGACAAAAGTTGCTTTCAAATCAGATCTGCACACCTGCTGTGCGCAAATTGGGATCACTAGAACTAAGCGGAAATTCATTTGAAGACGGGCACAAGTAGCAGAATTTTACTGTCAGGTATCTGAAGAGCAAAGAAAATGGACAGAGTCGATCAGTAATCATGTTACCAGCCAGATTATATTTGCAAGTGTACCAATAAAGCCAGGCACTCGGTGGTTCTGAAGGCCCAGGCCGATGATCCAATGAGGTGGCTTCTGCATACAGGATTTTTTCATTCTCAAAGCAAGGAGTGCAGAAGTGCTCATAAAGAGAACCCACTAAACAACCTACCAGCTTTTCTTTTAAGTTCTTGTGTGGAAATTGTCTTTTTATATGCACTGAACAAATACCCCCATTACAAGCACCTTAATGCAAATCTCCAATCCTCAGCTGTATATACTTATTTAGAAAATGTTTAACTTTCTTATTTTTAAGGTGACTTTAAGAAAACCAGTTTGAAGAATATTCCCCAAGTTGTTCAATTTCCAAAATCAACGAGTAAGGAAAATTGTAGTATATGTATATACTTCTGTATATTGGAAAGGGTTTAATTGACTATTTTTCTTCTTTTGCATATACTTATTTATGGCAGTGTTAATATTGATAAGTGAAAATGAGATATTGGTTCAGCTGAATTCAGTAACAATTGTACCACTAGGTTTTTTTTAAAGAATAGGGCAAAAGATTAAACAGTTTTAAAATACATTCAAATATTCTCCTTTGCCTACAGCCAGTTTTAATGCAGTACAAATATAACTTTCCCATTGGCTGAATATTACACACTCAGCTCTGACATTCAGTGGAAGAATCTGGTTACTCAAGAAGTTAACAGTTGTGAGAGGCTGTAGCTGAGCAACCTGAAGCGCTCAAAAGCCACAGGTTTCTTGGTACCTTGGCTAGAATTGCCACCAGACATCGTCCTTAATGTGAAAGAAAAGAGGGGGCTATTATGTGATGGGAAATTGTCCTATTAATTGCAATGAATATCACATTTAATTCAAACATTAGTTTTCTGTCCACTTTTGGACTTGAGGCCTAAAAAACCCAAGTGGACCTTTGACTGACCCTCTCAAAAATCTATTCACACATACCAGGACATTTTAGTGATAAAGTGAAACTGTTGCTTTCACAGATGGTGTAGAGGCAGGCAAGAAGTCTCTTTAGAAGAAGCAAAATGGACTCTTAAGATCAACTGTTGTGATTTTATTTTTTTAATTTGCTTTGCGAAGGAGGTGAGAGTTTTTCTTTTTCAAGACAACTTAGAAATATTTCAAATAAATTCCATTTGGATAGATATTCTGCCTACATTCTGGATTATATATCTGAATACTGTTTATGTCTGCCATGCTGTTTCTCATTCTTCAGCCCGGTATGTTTTTGCTCCTTTGATTGTTGGAATATTTTAAGCCTGAATAAGCAACTGCCTTAAAAGCCTAAGGTGGCTAATACCTCATTTTATACCAAAATTCCAGTCCTTACCTTAGGATGGATCTTGAGAGAATGGAACCCTGGGCCCTATCTAACAAAATGAAATTCAATGTAGAGAAAAGTTAAAATTTTACACTTAGGCAAGAAAAACCAAAAGGATACATATAGACTGGGTGAAGCCAGGCTTAATAGCAGTAACGATGATCTTGGATCTTGGCATCTTAAGGGACAATCATTTACAGTAAGTATGAGCCAACAGTGTGCCGCAGCAGCCAAAAAAGCCAATGCAGTCGTAAATTGCATTAACAGAGGGATTCAATCAAGATCAAGTGGAGTACTTAAACAACTCTATAAAACCTTAGTAGGGCCACACCTAGAATCCTGCATCCAGAGGTTGAGACTCTAGAAAGAGTGCAGAGAAGAGCAGCCAAGATGATGAGGGGACTGGAGGCTAAAACATACGATGAACAGTTGCAGGAACTGGGCCTGGCTAGTCCAGGGAAGAGAAGGACCAGGGGAGACATGATAGCAGTCTTCTAGTATTTGAGGGGCTGCCACAGAGAGGAGGGGGTCAAGTTGTTTTCCAAGGCACCTGAAGGCCAGACAAGGAATAATGGATGGAACCTGATTCAAGGAGAGATTCAACCTGGAAATAAGGAGAGACTTTCTGACAGAGAAAACAATCAACCCATGGAACAGAAGTTACCTTTGGAAGTTGTGGGAGATTCATCACTGGAGGGTTTTAAGAAGAGACTGGACTGTCATCTGTCAGAAATGGTGCAGGGTCTCCTTGGGTGGGGGATTGGACTAGATGACCTACCAGGTCCCTTCCTGCTTGCTCTGCTCTATTCTATCCTGATTCATTCTATTCTATTCTATTCTATTCTTTGAATTCCTTTCCATTCTATTCTAAAGTGGATTAGATATGTAATAGATTAGATTGCAATATACTCTTCAGATGAAAAGAAGCAGAACAACTCTTTGTATTAGACACTGGGAATCAACAACAGGAAGACACTTTCCTCCAATGGCAACAATATGGCCCTTACATGTTCTGTTTTAGGAAGACATATAAAATGTTCTTGAAACAAATAGTAACCTATAGTAGAATGTGAGCCATGTACTTTTCCAGTGGGACTGGAGGCCAAAGGATATCAGCCATCTCAATTGTAGCCTATCAGCTCACACAAAGTTCATTGCTTATATCGCTATTTTCCAAATCTAATCTGTTCAATGAAATTTCTTGGGACAACCCTTGATACAATGTTCATTCGAAGCCTTTTACTTGTGCTTAAAAGAAACACAATAATTACACAGTTAATTAAATTAGACTAAAAACAAAAATAACCATGTATATATTTATAAAATTTTAACCTGGTTTTCATTGTTCAAAATAAACTCCATGGCCAGGTTTTCCAAGACACACTTAAAAGTAGAACCACACATTGAGTTTTCAGAGTTTGCATTGTTATGGCTTTGAAGAACTGAAGTTTCTAAGTTGCTGAACCAGCTCCATAATACACAACTAACAAATTGTAGCATGAGGACAAGCCAACAAAAAAGTTGTTTCACATCATTTGATGTGATTATTTGTTTCAAGCATCATTTGGAAAACTACAATGGCATGTTTAAAAGAAATACTGTAATTTATAAATAACAATCATTGCTTTCATTAAAAAAATAACACAACCGAAAGCAAAGGTATTATAGTTTATCATTGAATTCTAGACTTCAATTGCTCCATGCAGGCATCTACTGGGTGTTCTTCAAAATCATACTTCCCTCCCTTGGATTAACACACACTTGCCATTCTTAAGCATTCTAGGACTTACAAAGCAATTGTTGCAACTGACAAATCAGTGGATTAACAGAGAAGAAGGCAGGCACCACAATCAGAAATAGAGGCAATGCATGTATTTTACAATATTTTGCATCTATTTGAAAATGGAAAGTTTATATGCAATGGGCAGAATCCACTTCCCCCTGAAAAAACATTATGCCCTTACTGATGTCAAAGAGGCAGCAGTAACAGATCATATTTGCAATGTGAGAAATTAGAATTAAGACCTGGTTTCACATTCAAGATTTTATTTGTAGTACAAACACATACCTGTGCCCAGAATGTCTTTCCCGAATAGAACTGACTCATTTTTTAAAAATGACAGACCATTCTTCCACATTTTGACAAAGTGACATTTAAAATAATGGCAAGTGCTTCCAAAGACCTGTCAAAACTCTAGCTCTAGACTGCTGACGTTTCTGCTAAAAAGATGCTTTCCCAGATCAAGTATTTTTTCACACAAGTTACTACAGAGAATGAACAAGATGGCCTTGGGAGAGGGGCATTTTGTGGGGGAAGGAGAAATCCTAAATGGAACCATGATCAATAGACTGAAAACACATTACTTTCAGGGCAGGACAACATCAATTATTCTTCCCTGATCCTTCCTGCTACAATTTTCAAATATTATTTCTAAAAAAATATGAGCTCATCTTTTGAAAAAATCCTTGCTTGCCAGCTAGTTGGAAGATAGTAGGAAAACGCATTTCAGATAAAATTCTAGGTGAGGGGCCTGTCCAAAACCACCACACTTACCCATTCACATATAAATACCCACAGCATTTTTTGCTCAACTGAAAAAATACTTCTGCATAAAGAACTGAGTTGGAAGAGTTGTGTCAATATTTTTTTCTAACAATCAATGAAAAATATACTATCAAGAAGCCCATTCTCTTTTCTGAAGTTCTGCCTCATGAGAAATAATTGGTTATTTTCATTTCACTGCAAGCAGAAATTAGAAACAAAAGTTGTCGATATCGGTGGGAATGAAAAAACGTTAAAAAAAACAGGCTGGTGAAGAATACATTTCCCTGGATTGTGTTATATGTGTCAATAAAATCCCAGCAATAATTATCACCTCCATCTGCCCCCCCCCTCCCACCCGCACTGGATGACTCCCCAGACTGCTGCATAGGTACGTAACTGGCTCGATCTATCAAATGCAAAAGACTTGGCAGGTAGCTGCTTAAAGCATTCTCGGCTGTCAATGGTGAAACCCGTGTGCATCAGAGTACTGTATCAAAATATTTTACCCTTATTATAATTTAGAGTTTGCTTTGTTCTCCTCAAAGGGGAAAAGACCCCATTTCTCCTGCCACCAGGTGACACATTTGGAAACCAAAGCAAAACACTCAAGAGCTGACTGGGAAAAAAATGGGAAAGGAAAGAAGATGCAAATTCTCTGCCTGACATTTTATTTGACCCTTCATGGAGGGAAAGTGAGAGATCACCATCTAGATGCGGCCTAGTGGAATTCTACAAATTCTTCCAATGCTTTGGGGATCTGATTGTGATAACTGATGTGATGAACCCGCACAGCTCGAGCAGCCAGGCACTTCAGGCTCAGTTTCATTTGAGTCTTCAGGAGGATTTCAGACACTCCCGTCGTACTTTTGTCGAGGGGAGTTTTTTTCTGTTTGTTTGTCATATCAGTATGAGCACCAGCCTCAACCAAGCTGATGATGATCGAATGCAAGGTCAAAAAGTCACTAATGGGCCTGTTGTACTGGACTATGACGTGCAGCGGAGTGTTGCCCTCCTGGTCCACCGCGTTGACATCAGCGCCACAGTCCAGAAGGAGCTTGGTGACCAGGGCGTTAGGGAAGCTGCAGACATCGTTGGTGTGGAAGTCATCAACTGGAGTACCGGAGTTGACAGCATGGTGCAACAAACTAGACCCATCTCGTGTCCTGGGATCCAGGTGGATTAAGTTATAAATCTGTTTATTAATTCGTGATTGTTCCTCGTCCCTACACTGGGTTTTGGTTGAGATGCACACCAAGTACAAGAAGGTAAAGATATTGCATTCATAGTTGTCCATGGCTGTGTGAAGCTCGGCTTCTGGAGAGCTTTTGACCCTGGCCATGCCTTGCTCTATCTCCAGGACGCTACATCTCAAGACGCTCTCAATGTCCTTGGCTTTCACAGGCTCATTCAAGTGTATCATCTGAGAGAAAACTTGAGCGAATCGGAGAAGGTCCTTGTGGGTATTCCTACTGCCTCTCTGTCGCAAATGCAAAGCATGGAGCCAGAGCTTAATGCACTGTTCAAACTGCATGTTATCAGCATAAACAGCACCACGGTAAATAATTGGATGCGACACATCAATGTTGTCAGAGCCTAGGATCCGCTCACGGACAATGAGACCCTCCATGTGCAAAGCATCTCGGTCCTGGCGAATGCATTCTAGCTCCTGAGGAGTTCGGCATTCCGTCCGGTTGCCATAGGCTTCTATCTGGGGCAGGATGTCCTTCTCTATAAGGTTCTCGCTATCTCTGTACCGCTCGAGCATGGCTAAATATAAATAATGATAGGTCTTCATGATGTCGTAATTTTCCCGGTCGTTTGCAAAGGAGGCGCCCAGGAGTTCCAAAGCTTCGATCCTGCTCTTGCGGTCACAGTCGGCATGTGCCAACAACAGCTCCACAACATCAGCTTTACAGCTCTCCGCAGCTACCTTCAGTGGTGTCATTCCATGACCATTCACCATCATGGCAGATTTCCACTTGACCAGCTCCCGGACAATCTCCAAGTGACCCGCCTCAGCTGCAAAGTGCAATGCTGTAGCGCCACAGTGTGCTTTGGCATTGGGATCAGCATGCTGCTCTAGAAGGAAGCGCACCACGTCGACATGGCCCTTGTAAGCAGCGATCATAAGGCAAGTGTTGTCATACTTGTTAGCGATGCTGATGTTGGCATTGTTCTCCACAAGGTATTTGACGATGTCCAGCCTGCCGTCAAAGCAGGCAGCCCGCAGAGGGGTGGAATTGGTCACGGTAGTGTGGTTAACATTTGCTCCATGGCTTACGAGAAGCTTGACAACTTCGAAGTGGCCAGCCCCAGCTGCACACCACAGTGCCGTGGCTCCATCAATGACATAACTATGGAAAAAGAAGAGAGAGAAATTGTGTACAACAGCTGTACTTTTAGCACAGGCTTTAAAACAAGTCCATGAGAAATAAGTGATGGAGTTTCTCTGGTCAGAGAGAAAGAGGGAGAGTGCAAAGGACGGGTATTAAATGAAAGACCAAGGGTAGCCTTAAGGATTGTGCTTTTGTATAGGCACAATAACGGGGCAG